TGTACCCTTTTCCCCATCATCTGCCAGTGATAACATCTTAGGAGACAAAGAAATTGACATTGATACAATACTATTCACCATGGCTTATGTAAAAGTGCATTGTTTAATCCCCAAATGTTTGGAGATTTTATAAATATTTTTCTTTTCTCTATTTCTAGTTTAATTCCATTATGGTTAAAGAACATATTTTGTATAATTTCAATTCTTTTAAATTGTTAAGGTTTGTTTTACAGCCCAGAATATGTTCCTTTATACGAATATTTCATATGCACTTGAAAAGAATGTATATTCTGCTTTTGTTGGGCAGAGTGTTTTGTCATTGCCATTAGGTCCAGCTAGTTGATATGTTGTTCAGGTTTTCTTTATCCTTACTGATTTTCTGTCTAATTTTTCTCAGTTTTGGAGAAAGGAGTGTTGAAGTCTCCGACACAATTTTGGGTTTGTCTATTTCTCATATCAGTTCCATCAGTCTTTGCTTCATGTGTTTTGCAGCTCTGTTGTTGCACACACATTTGTGATTAGCATGTTTTCTTGGAGAATTGACCCCTTTATCATTAAGTAATAGCCCTATCTATCCCTTGTAACATACCACATTCTGAAGTCTACATTATCTAAATATAGCTACTTCAGCTTTATTTTGGTTAGTGTTTGCATGGTACATCTTTTTCAATTCTTTTACTTTTAGTATACTTTACTTTTACTTTTAGTATATTATTATACTGATATTTAGTGTGGGTTTTTTTGGAGATAAAATATAGTTTGGTCTTTTTTTAAACCAATTTGACAATCTCTTTTAATGGATGTGTTTAGACTCTTCACATTTAATGTAATTATTAACATTGTTGAACTTGGGTCCACCATTTTATCATCTCTGTTTTGTACCCTTTGTTTTTTACTCTTCTATTTCACTTTTCCTGCCTTCTCTTCTTTTATTCTAATATTTTTAATATTCCACATCAACTTACCTATTGGTTTTTGGCTATATCTCTTCATATTACCTTTTTGGTAGTGGTCTCTGGGTTACAATATACATACCTTAGAGTTAAAAATCTACTTCGAGTTAAAAGTTTGCAACTTCAAGTAAAATGTAGAAGCCTTACAACCATATAGGTTGCTTTCCCTATTGTTGTCATATATATTACATCTACACACATTATCTCACTAACAATGTTACAATTTTTGCTTCCAACAGTCCTACATATTTTGAAGAATGTGTGAGGTATAAAATAGATAACTGTATTTATCCAAATATTTACCATTTCTGTTGCTCTTTCTTCTGTTCTGTTGCTATTGCTGAAGTTCCAAATGTCCCTTTGGAATTTCACATCAGCCTGAAGAACTTCCATTAACAATTCTTTTAGGGCAGGTTTGCTGGTGACACATTCTCTCAGTTTACCTTCATCTAAAAATATTTATATTTTGCTTTCATTTCTGAAGCACATTTCACTGGGCTGACAGGTTTTTTTCCTCCAGGACTTTACAGATGTTTGCCCCACTGTCTGTTGGCCTCTATGGTTTCTAATGAAAAATCTGTTCGGATTCAAATCTGAACGATTTGAATCGTTCTTCCCCTCATTGTGATATGTTATTTTCTTCTGATTGCTTTCAAGATTTTTTCTTCATCTTTGGTTTGCAGAAGTTAGATTATGATGTATCTGGGGCAGTTTTCCTTAAAGTCATTCTGTTTGGCATTTGCTGGGCTTCTTGAATCTATAAATCTATGTCTTTTGCCATATTTGAAAAGTTTTCAGCCATTTTTTCTCTAAACGTTTTTTTCCTTTACCAATTTCTCTCCCTTCTCTGGGACTCTAATGACATGAATGTTAGACCTTTTAATATTTCATAGGTCACTGAATTTCTCCTTTTTTAAAAAAAAATCTTTTTTTTTCTCTTTTATTAAGACGATAATTTTTATTGCACTATCTTCAAGGTCACTGGCTCTTTCTTCTATTATCTGCATTCTGTTGTTAAGGCCATGCAGTGAAATTTTTATTTCAGACATTGTATTATTTAATTCAGTGACCAGATATCGGAGGTAGTAGTGAAAGAGAATGAGCTGTCTAAAATCACACCTAGCTTCTGGCTTGGGTCATGGAGTGGTTGTTGGTACCTTTTACTGAGGAGTAGGAACAATGAGGAAGATAATGCATTTGGAGGTGTGAATTTGAGGTGCAAGTGGTATATTCAAGTGGTGATACAGTAGGCTTCTGTAGCTCCCTAGAGTTTGCATTTCTGGGTAGAGGTCAGGGTTAGTGATAAAGTTGTTGTGGTTTAAATCAATGTTTTTCAAAGTGTAGACTGCAATACCTTGTATCATGGCATCAATTTTGTGGGTTATAACGGCATTTTAAAAAATGGACCATAGGGACTTTCCAGTGGTAAAGAATCTGCCTTACAATGCGGGTCACATGGGTTCTATCCCTGGTCAGGGAACTAAGATCCCGCATGCCGTGGGGCAGCTAAGCCCGCGTGCCACAACTAGAGAGAAGCCCACGTGCTGCAACGAAAGATCCCACATACCGCAACTAAGACCCAGTGCGCCAACTAATGAACCCATGCACTCTGGAGCCCGAGCGCCACAACTAGAGAGAAGCCTGCGCACCACAACGAAAGATCCTGCGTGTGGCAACTAAGACCCAATGCAGCCAATAAATAAATAAATAAAATATTAAAAAATAAAAATAAATTGCTTTAAATGATTCAACAGTAGAGAATAAGAATTACAAAAATTTAGGGCTATATTTTAAAACTCATTTGAGAGTATGAGAGTTAGATTATTAGAAACCACTATGTTCAATCATAGGTCTGTTATTCATACTCTGCCTGGAAAAGCTCATCATCATGGTTTAAACTAAGGGTTTTCAAACATTTTTTTGAAACATCACAGTAAGAAATTAATTCACAATCCAGTCTAATATACATGCATACGCATACACACACGCATACACACACACTAAAACACAAGTTTTGTTAAATACCATTTACTCTTTATTATATGTAATATACTGATTTTTAAAATTGCAGTCCAATTTTTTAAAGATTTATTATGTATTTATTTAATTTATTTATTTTTGGCTGCGTTGGGTCTTCGTTGCGGCACGTGGGATCTTTGTTGAGGCATGTGGGCTCTTTCACTGTGGTGCGCGAGCTTCTCTCTAGTTGTGGCGTGCAGGTTGTCTCTCTCTAGTTGTGGTGCGTGGGCTCCAGGGCCCGTGGGCTCTGTAGTTGTGGTGCGTGGGTTCCAGAGTGCGTGGGCTCAGTAGTTTTGCGGCACGCAGGCTCTCTAGTTAGGGGCGCACGAGCTCAGTAGCTGGCCATAGACATATCCATCACCTCCCAAGTTTCCTCCCACCCGCTTTATTATTATTATTATGTTATTGTGTGTATGTGTGTGTGTGTGTGAGATAAGAACACTTAGCATAAGATCTATCCTGTTAGCAAATTTTAATTATATAACACAGTATTGTTATCTATAAGCACTATGCTGTAGAGTAGATCTTCAGAACTTATTTATCTTGCATAACTGAAACCATTACCCTTTGACCAAACTATTACCCTTTTCCTTCACCTCCAGCTGTTGGCAACCACCATTCTATGGTCTGCTTCTATGAGTTTGACTATTTTTAGATTTCTCATATAAGTGAGATTCTACTGTATTTGTAGAATTTCTGTGTCTGGCTTATTTCACTTTGCATAATGTCCTCCAGGTCCACCTGTGTTGTTGCAAATGCAGGATTTCCTTCTTTTTTAAGGCCAAGTAATATTCTATTGTATGTATATACCACATTGTCTTTATCCATTCATCCATTGGATATTAGGTTGTTTCCATATCTTGGCTATTGAGGATAATGCTGCAATGAACATGGGAGGGTAGATATCTCTTCGAGATCCTGATTTCAATTCCTTCAGATAAATATCTAGAAGTGGGATTGCTGGATCATATAGTAGTTCTATTTTTAATTTTTTTGAGAAACATCCATTGGATTTTCCATGACCGTGCCAGTTTCCATTCCCATCAGTAGTGTACCAGGGTTTCCTTTTCATCACATCTTCACCAATACTTATCTTTTGTTTTTTAAATAATAGCCATCGTAACAGGTGTAGGTGAAGGTTCAAATTCTGTAGCATGGAAGGTTCTTGGCAACATGTTATCTTTTGCATTTGGATAATAAACTGGTTTGTTTTCGTATCTTTTATAATAGCAAGTCTGTCCCATTGCCTTGATGTTTTGGTTTCTGAGGCAATCAATCAAGTCTCAACCAGCAGTACAGAATACCAGCGCTCTTGATAGCCCTCTGGATACGTAGCTTCGAATTGTGTGTTTCTAGCACATTATTGTTGTAAAAATATTTTTGAGAATATTTGAGAATATATCTTGTATAAGTTTTCTTTCAGAATTTAATCTCAGGGAAACTATTATTTTTTCTGACATAGTAGTATTTTTTCTCCTGTCAGCTGAATAATTAATGTGATTCAGTATTTCCCTTTTCTCCTTGGTTGATGGGACTCTTCAAACCAGTTTAGTCATTCTCTTAATGGTTTGGAGTTAGTACATATACTTTCCTTCACTTTTTGTGTTGATTTTCTTTTTTACTTCCATGTTATCAATTAATTTTAATATAAATTGTCTATATTTGTGGTGGAAAGAGTAAGTATAAATAAATACTACACTATAAGTCTTAGTACTTGCAATGATAATAAATCATTATTTTATCTCACTTAATTTCTTCCAGTTTTATTGAGATGTAATTGACATACGGTACAGTATAAGTTTAATATTCATTTTATCTCACTTCTGAGAAACTGCTCTAAGTTAACATAGCACTCACTTTGTTTCTTCTTCATTAAGTAGGATAGAAACTATTCCATCCTAGTTACCTTATTGTACTACATAAGGTCAAACACTATCTGATTTCACTCTGGAATCATTTTGCAGATCTCTTTTCTTATTGAGGGCATTTTCATCTTCATCTTAATATTACCCATGTTAATTTTCATAGGGTAAAATTCTAAACCATCTGAAGATTCTGAAGGGAGACAGGGACAGGATTCGGAATTTTCAGTCTACGGGACAACATGAGATTCAGGCCCTGCTGGTAAGAGAAGTCTCAAGTGAATGTTCTGTGTACCTCTGTTGGGTGGGAGAGTGTGTGTGTGTGTGTGTGTGTGTGTGTGTGTGTGTGTGTGTGTGTCAGGGGGAGGGGGGATATTGAAGGATGGGGAGAAGGAGGGTGTGATGAAAGGGATTCTTGTTCTGAACTCATTTCCAGATCTCACAAATGTTCTGGTGTTTCCTAGCCTCTCAGAAGAAATCCTCTTCCCCTTTCTGCCTTTACTGCAGGCAAAATTCCAGAACCACAAGCAAGACATAGCATCAGTGTTTGAGCAGGGCCATCAGTTCCTGAGAGAAAGGGAGCAGTACCTGTTGAAGTGGCTGGATGGGATGGAGCAAGAGCTCACTGAAGGGAGGAACAGCCATGTCACCAAGGGCTCTGAGGATGTCATCCAGCTTGAGACCCTGATTTCTGAGTTAGAGAAGAAGGCTCGGCAGCCAGCACTTGAACTTTTGCAGGTGAGTGACCAACTAAACTGTACCTGGGTCCCCTTGCTCCAGGATGCAGTGTAGCCCTCCATTAGCATGAGATTTGGACAAGGAGTCAGGAGAGACAAGGTTTTGTTCTCATTTGTTGAGTTCTTTAATAAGTTAATCAGCAAAGCAATAGGTTTTAAGTCCCAAATTGCGGTGGGCAAGGGACTGTAATAGACCCAGATCTTACAATGAGATAGTAAGATCTATACATTTATAATTATAAGAAATAATCGCATGTTAAATCTTGTGGTCAGACAGGAAGCCCCAGGAATTCTGGAAAAGACTAGGTTTAGTCAGGGAAGTCTTCAAGGAAGAAGCAGCTCTTAATGGCAGCCTTGAAGAAAATGTAAAGATTTGGATTAGCAGGAAGGAGGAGTTGAACATTCCATTTGGTGGAGGTGCATTGGTTAGAATGAAATAAATGAATGTGATAATAAACTTAATGAGTGTGATAATAAAAGGGTGGGTGTGGGTGCTGAGGAAGATAGTTTGGAAGGTAGAAAGGGTACATAGAGTGAACGGAGCTACCTTTCTGGAGGAGTCAGCTTAAGTGAGGAAGAAGTTAGAGGGAAGATGAGACAGGTAAGATGGGGTCAAATGAGTAGAGGCTTTCCAAGGCAGGCTGAGATTTCAGTCTTAACCTGGTAGACAATAGGATTCTTGACAGATCAAGGAAGGTTTCTTGGAGGGGTGCTAGACTAGCACTCAAATAGAGAAAAGGATGGGGAAACATATGTCCACATAAACTGATACTACAGTGGAGAACAGAACAGGTCCAGGCTCATCAGAAAATTCTCTGTACAGTCCTGTTGTGTACCCATTCCCCAGCAAGCCCATCGTAGGGAATGGTGTCAGATCCTGGGAACCTTATTTCCATGACAGTCTGTCTTCTCTTCCTTTCTAGGACCCAAGCAACATAATAAGCAGGTAAGTGCTGCTTGCTTTTTTTTTTTTTTTTTTTAACCACTTAGGTGTTCCTTTGTTTTTTCTTTCTGTCACCATAACTTATTGAAATCTGGCAAGGGCTGGAAAGGGGTTGTTTGGAGGAAGAGAGGTTCTTCTAGAAAGGGTAAGTTGAAAGGTGTTCCATAGAATGAGGGAGGGAGTTCTAGAAAAATTATTGGCATGGAACTTATGTTAGGATGGTAATGGGATAGGGAGAAATGAAATGGGAGGAGATTATGGGAGAGTATTAGAGAAAATTTAGAATACACATTTGTTTCTAAAACCCTATTTCCTCTTGTTCTTTCTGTACTTGATTCCCAGCTGCTTCTCCTGGCCACAACTTCCCTCATATTCTGTAGAGCACATTTCATCGTCAGATTGCCCTCTATGCTTGCTAGTGATGGTTTCCTGCTCTCTGCCTGACCATAAGAAGAGGGACATTTATATGAGTCATAGAGATAATGGGTTCTTGAACAGTGCGTCTGAGGGAATGTGTGTTAGGCATTTAACATTGACAGTTTTCAAAAATTATACCCACACGATACTCAGAAGCTTTGAACAGAGATAAAAGGGAGGTATTTTGATAATACACTGTTCATCCCAGAGACATCCAGGACTATTGGCATATACTGAATGTTTACTGTGGACCAGTTACTGGGTAGAAAGGGGTGTAATGAGATAGGTTACCAGATTCTGTCTGGGGAGACTAGACAGAGACAATTAGAGATGAGCAATTATATAAGAAATGAGAGTGATACAGAATGGGTAAGACTTCTTGCCTGAAAGCATTTTGTCTGATATTAGTAGAGGTATTCTAGTTTTTTTTTGATTAGTGTTTGCATGCTATTTAACTTTTTATCCTTTAACTCTCAACCTTTCTCGGTTGTTATTTTTATGTACCTCTTATAAGAACATAAATTTTTTTTTCTTTTTAAATAAATTCATTCTGACACTTTTTAATTGGAATATTTAGTATTTATAGCTCCTGGAATATCACAATTTTCATTTATATTTTCAAAAATAGTTGCATAATTTGCCAAATAATGTCCTTAAATTTAATTTTTTTATGTCAATGTATTTGTTTGTTTTGTGTATTTCTACTTTTGACTCCTCTACTTGCCTCTCCCTTTTTTCCATTTTTAATATTTTTTTATTTTTGTGTGTGTATATCTATGAGCCCTGCTTTTGTCATAGGCCAAAATTTCTAGTATTTGGTATTTTTATTGTTTTCTAGCTATTTTAAATTTGATTTGCTATTTAACATAAGATTTAAGAAAGAGGATATCTGTCAGTGGCGCTGAGTTCTTTTTCTAGTAGTTTCAGGCTTCATAGTTTTTAAATCTTGTGATCACACAAGTTGGTTGCCATTTCTACCATTTTGGACTTTATTGAGGCTTTCTGTATTGTATGTTGTAGATTTTTGTACAGTTCTAAACACTTAAAAAGAAAGTACATTCTCTGGGTTCTTAGAATAGGATTTGATATAGCTCCATGAGGTTTTCCTTAGTAATTTTGTTATTTAGGTATTTTGTATTGATACTTATTTTTTTACTTCTTGATATGTCATGGACTAAAAGAAATCACTCAAAGATTCCTATTAGCAATGAATTTTTGCCAATTTTTCTTGTATTCTTATAGTTTTTGCTTTTTATATTTTGATGTTTTCTTTTCTTTTAAAGAGAGTTATATCTTAATTGTGGATTATAATCTTCTTAGTAACATAAAATACCCTCTGTTGTCTTATTTAATATTTTTTTGCCTTGAATTTAATCCTGTTTGATAATATCAAGACCTCAAATTTCTTTCATATTGTATTTAGCTTATATATGTCTGCCCAGCTATACCTTAATTTTAAATTTAAAGCTTTTAAAAATGTATATTTAAAGCTTAATTTTGGGGCTTCCCTGGTGGTCCAGTGGTTAAGACTCCACACTTCCATTGCAGGGGGCCCGGGTTTGATCCCTGGTAAGGGAACTGAGATCCCACATGCCGCACAGTGCGGCTAAAAAAAAACAAACAAAAAAAGCTTCATTTTAATTTTATTTATCTAGTTTATATCCTCAGGTAATTTCTTTAGAGGTTGTAGTATTAGTAGCATGTTTCAAAGACTTTCAAAGGCAGAAAATGGCTTTCTTTCTTTTTTAACATGGTCTATAAATGACATATTGGTGGGTAGAGAATCCTTGGATCATGGACCATTCTTCAGAACTCTATATATCTACTCTTTGAGTCTGATGTTGAAACTATGCACTTGGAAATGAAGCTTTTACTCTCTGCCCCTTTGGTCCGTTGTTGGTGTTTGTGCACATGCACGTGCTGACGATGGGAAATCATGCCTCTCTCTCAGGAGTTCTAACTGTGACTTCATTTTCTCTAGATATCCCCAGAAGAAGTTCTGGATTGAAAAGTCTACCAGTCCTCCAATCAAAAAGCAGACAGAAGAATTTTCAGATAAACTTCTTTCTTTAGAGAAAGGACTCAAAGGATTCCATGGTAAAGGAAGTGGTTTGAGCCTAGAAAAACTTCTTACTTTCTCTATAATGTTTCCTTAGGTTTTGATTGTGGCGGTGGCTTCTCAGAGTTCCTTGCTCTTGTGCACCTCACTTACACCATGCAGGGACATCGGGGAGGGAATCTAAGCAAGTCCAAACCAGAGAGGATTCCACATGAGAGTCTAACAATGTTACCTAGACTAAAGTAGAATCATAGTCAATAGGTCTCAGAGTTGGTAAAAAGATACCTCACCTTTAACAGTGAGGTAAAAGAAAATTGGAAGGCTATGGAAAACAGTGTGGCATTTCCTCAAACAATTAAAAATATAATTACCATATGATCCAGCATTTCCACTTTCCAAAGAATTAAAAGCAGGATCTCGAAGAGGTATTTGCACACTCATGTTCATAGCAGCATTATTCACTATAGCCAGGTGGTAGAAGCAACCCAAATGTCCATCAGTGCATGAATGGATGAACAAAATGTGGCATGTGGAATGTGTAGACAATGGAACATTATTCAGCTTAAGAAAGGAAGGAAATTCTGACACATGCTACAAGATGGATGAATCTTGAGGACATTATATTAAGTGAAGTGAGCCAGTCACAAAGGGACAAGTACTGTATGATTCCTTTTTGAGGTCTTTAAAGTAGTCAAATCCATAGGAACAGAAAGTAGATTAGTGGTTGGAAGGACAGGGAAATGAGGAGCTGTTGTTTAATGGGTATAGAGTTGGAGTTTTGAAGAATGGAAAAGTTCTGGGGCTTCCCTGGTGGCACAGTCGTTAAGAATCTCCCTGCCAATGCAGGGGACACGGGTTCCAGCCGGGGGCCGGGAGGATCCCACATGCTGTGGAACAACTAAGCCCGTGCGCCACAACTACTGGGCCTGCGCTCTAGAGCCTGTGAGCCACAACTACTGAAGTCCATGCTCCTAGAGTCCGTGCTCCGCAACAAGAGAAGCCACTGCAGTGAGAAGCCTGTGCACCGCAACGAAGAGTAGCCTCCGTTTGCCACAACTAGAGAAAGCCCGCACTCAGCAGTGAAGACCCAACGCAGACAAAAATAAATAAATAAATTTATTTATTTAAAGTGAGAGAGTGGCATGGACCTATATACACTGCCAAATGTAAAATAACTAGTGGGAAGCAGTCGCATAGCACAGGGAGATCAGCTCAGTGCTTTGTGACCGCCTAGAGGGGTGGGATAGGGAGGGTGGGAGGGAGACGAAAGAGGGAGGAGATATGGGGATATATGAATATGTATAGCTGATTCACTCTGTTATAAAGCAGAAACTAACACACCATTGTAAAGCAACTATACTCCAATAAAGATGTAATAATTAATTAATTAATTAATTAAAATACCAAAAAAACCGAATGGAAAAGTTCTGGAAAATGGTTGTACAGCAATTTAAATATACTTAATATTAATGAACTGTACACTTAAAAATGGTAAAGATGGTAAACATTATGTGTTTTTACCACAATTAAAAATTTAAAGAGGGCTTCCCCGGTGGCGCAGTGGTTGAGAGTCCACCTGCCGATGCAGGGGACACGGGTTCGTGCCCCGATCCTGGAAGATCCCACATGCCGCGGAGCGGCTGGGCCCGTGAGCCATGGCCGCTGAGCCTGCGCGTCTGGAGCCTGTGCTCCGCAACGGGAGAGGCCACAACAGTGAGAGGCCCGCGGAACGCAAAAAAAAAAAAAAAAAAATTTAAAGAATACTGGGAGAATTAATCTAAAAGAGTATCTTTGAGAGTAGAGAAAAATAGTGTGGTTCAGGACTAGAAGTTTAGGGCTTACTTTAAAAACAGGGAACATGCCCAAAGGTACTCTTTAATGAAGCACCAGGTGGGTTCAGCGGATGTAGGCATGCATATTTACATGGGTGTCTCCTGAATTGATTTCTCTGTTTCGCTTGAGCTTTCATGGTGCCCTGTCATCTTTTAAAGTTATATTAGCCAACAGTAAGAGAATTTAACCTAGAAGATGTGGTGTCAAAATTGCTTACTGTCCTTTGGTACTTTTATTCTAGGAAAATTGATGAGGGATCTGGAATATAAAACAAGTGAGCATCTGGAGGGGATAGTGGCTGAAGTTTGCTAATTGCAGCTTTCCTATGAAGCTCCATTACTTATGGGTCAGCTCTTTCGTTTTAAAGAGGAAGGTCTTCGTGTGACTAATGTATCCAAATTCTTTATCCCGAGAATTCAGATTTCAAACCCACAAACCTTTCCCCAGATTTGTGCAGCTGCAGTGATCTCAGTCCTTACCGTTTTGCCCTCTCAAGTCTCATCACACTGCCTGTG